GAGAGAGAGAGAGAGTTGGCCACTTAAAATGTCAACACTGACCCATTACAGTGGAATTCAGGATCAGAGGCCCAAAAAATGGAGCAATTTGGAGTTCAAAAAAGTATTTTGTTTTTGAAGTCGAACAAAACTCGCAACTGAGCATTTAGTTAACTCCACTTGTGTGGGGTTTTATTTAAATAATTAATTCATTAATTTTGTTTTGGGGGTGGGAGGTGATGTCATCACAGGTGGGTATCAATGAGAGGCAAACGTGTGATGATAACCACAGAAGAGGAAGCATCAGGTGTCTTCGTATTGATGAGGAATACAAATTATATCAATTCAAGACAGATGATTTATTTTAACAAGGAAATACTAACATAAATTGTATGTATGTAGCCAAGAGCAGAACTTCAATGAATGTGAAAATAAGTTGGGAAGTCATTTACATGTTTCGCAAAAATAAAGACATAAACATTTGCCGAAGAATTACATAAAGGACGCATTTCAGGAGATCTCCAGGATAGCATCATTCTTAAAGTTCGGCAAAGTCAGACAAATGATTTAAGATAAGGTGTCAAACTCAAGGCTCGGGGGCCAGATCTGGCCCACCACATTTTTTGATGTGGCCCGCGAAAGCAAATCAATCATGTTGACTTCTATCATGCTTACAAACATTTTTACCAAAATTTCAAATTCTCATCTGTAATATATAAGAGAACTATTGTAAGTTTTCTTGTTACCAAAACCCTCATTACAGTAACTTAAACTATAGTTAAATAAACGATTATACTTGACTTCCTTATATGGTTTCACAGTCATAACACCCCTCCAAGGGAACCGGTTACTATAATGTGGCCCGCGACAAAAAATGAGTTTGACACCCCTGATTTAAGGGTTGCTTCGGCTGGGCGAAGGCACACAGTTTTATACTCCATAGCAGTGTTTCCCAACCTTTATTGAGGCAAGGGGCATAATTTACATAAAAACAAATGATGATCTCGGTTTACACATAAAGTGACTTCCTTGGTGTGAAATTTTAGCCTGTCTAGTTTAATACTGTAATTTGAATGGCAACAGGTGCCCAGGTTAATTGTGCCTTCTGCCCTCTAGTGGGACAGCATTTTATTTTATTCTGCATATAATTCTTCATAGCATAGCATAGCTAGATGCAGAAAGAAATATTTGTGGTGAATGAATAAGCATGAATCATTTATGGACCAGTTAAGTGAAATTGGTTAATTTCCCGCAGTGCATCGGTTGGGAACGAATGTCGTATAATGCAAAGCATGCCATTGCAGTAGTATTCAAGTCAAGTTAAGTCAAGCTTTATTGTCAAATATGCTCTATGTGCAATATGCAGCACAGATGAAATTATTTTCCTCTCTCAACCACAGTACAAACCTGCAGTACATTGAAACACACACAGCTAAAATATAAGGGCAGCAAACTGAACAGTGTTAATGCATGTGCAATTGACGTTATTTCTGCTCTAAATGAGGCCTCGAAGAAAAACAAACAAACAAACAAACAAACAAAAAACCTTGGCGGTGTTTATTTCTGGCAGCACCAAAACTTTGCTGGTGACACGTAACTGAATGAGGTCATGTGACTGAATGAGGTTAGCCTGAATGAGCTCTGACAGGTTGGTCGCTTGTGACTCACACATCATTGGCAAGCAAGGGTTTATTCAATCTGACTTCCTGTATGTCTCGCTTTATTGCATGAATGCACGTGTGCAAATGCTCCAGCTGCAGCTTTAGTGGTCTGAACCTAATACGAGGCACCTCTGCACCATCTACCCATGGACCGATTTTGAACTTCTTAGCTCAACTCAAGTCACTTTGTGAACAATTCCTCAAAAAGAGACTTTAAGCCACTTGCAGTTGATGTATATTGTCAAAATAAACATAGACCAAAGAGATTTAAAAAAACAAACCAACAAAAAAAAGTTCCCTTCCTACTAACCTACCCACTTACCTCTCTTTGGGATCACTGCTTGAAGCAACGGATATTTGAACACAAACGGTGCATCAACACATGTAGTCTGAAAATATAACAATACTCAAAACAACTAATATTAATTCGGGTTACTGAGTCACTTTTAGTAGCTGGGAAATTGTTCTTCGTGAGTGTCTACATGACTCGGAATGAATGAAAGTTTTTCTCATCAAATCTGTATCTACTCAATGTTGAAAAACACCTGTATCAAAATGAAATGCATGAGTAATGGCCTGTCAAAGACTGAATTGGACGAATCAAAATGAATCAATGAATTGACAATTAACTGATCATCCAATTAACTGACTGTAGTCGTCTAAAAAAACAGCAGACTGTTGAATCAGAATAAAACATTTGTAAATTTCTGCTTTTACACTGATCAATGTTTTTTGCCTGTTTTCTGGCATGTTACGGACCAAACTAGTGAGTGAATCATCATCAATTTCCGGAAAAATTAGTTTATTGTCTTCCCAACAGTCATTATTTGCAGTTATCGTGCGACTAACCTGAAATGTACTTAAACCTGATGTGTAGCCTCCGAAATGGATGTCAAGCTAACCGTCCTTTCCATTTATCAGCACAAAGGAAGCAGCCCTCAGTTTCTTTGATTTTGTTTATTCATTAAACAAGACCAAATTAACATTATCTTTCAGTGACATCTGAGATTCGGGTCTTGGTTGACTTTAATTTTAAGGATGGAAAATGCTCGAATGAGTCCCGCTTTTCGATATGTGGCATCAAGATATAGGAGCTGTATGGGGAAAATTGCGCCTTTGGAAAAATAATAATGCTCATGTTTGAAGTATAAATAATGCGATTTTGTGCTTGGGTGGTTCCTGTCCACTTTAATTCATCAACGTCCGTCGTTTTCTTTTGCAAAACGTTTTGGGCTTCGCAGAGTGCGACGAAGGAGAAGAAGATGCCGTGTTGCCTTTGAGGTCACGGTGAGGTTTCCCTCCCGCCGGCCCGTACTTTTTGCATGACCGCACCGCCGCCAGAATTCCGAATGAGCTTTTTGTCTGTCCTTGAGGAGCAAAAACGTTTTGGCAGTGCATGTAAAAGCAAATGTAAAATAATCGATTCTGGGATACTGATTTAACTTCTCATATTCATTCCTCTTCTCTTATTTACCGCGTGTTCCCCCTGACCACGCCGTTGGCCGTCGGAACAGAGCTGTCATCCTACAATCGTTACCTGCGCCAAACTCCATGCAATGTGACTCGCTTGACAGCTTTGCCTTGCCGCTGTCCCCAAAATACTCTGCTAGCTCGCCTCTATTAATAAGTCGAAAGACGCTCGTGCTTATAATGCAGTTATCTTCCTCACAGCAGCTGCGGCAGCAGCAAAGGATGTGTCACACATTTAAATGATGTGATTAAATATTGCTTGGACTCTCAAACTCACAATTGACGAACTCGAAGTACTATTAGATCTTTCTGCCTTATAATGCGACATTCAAGGCTCATGGAATGGCAGAAATATCACACTTTTAATCGGGCCGTGTGATGGAGAAATTTACTTTTTTTTTTTTCTTTGATGTGTCCATCCATTCAGGAGAAATATTTCCAAGGACCTATTCATAATAATGCCAATTAAAGTTAAATGCCCCAATAATTAAAATGTCCAGTGTCATAACAAGTTAATTTTTTTTGGGAGAATTTTTTTTTAAAGGGGAACCGAAAGGGAAAAGTTTATTCTTGAAAAATTGCCGAACTGCATTCTTGGGGAAAAAAAGACTATTCCTGTAACTGGAGGCGGTTTCTGGTATGTGCAATATGTGCAGCTGCAAAATGGTACGTGAATTGATTTTTTTTTTTTTGCCGTCACAAAATCATTCAAATGCATCCAATCACTTAGGCAATTATGCTACTCGGCCAGAGGTCGGCAACCCAAAATGTTGAAAGAGCCATATTGGACCAAAAAAACCCCCAAAACAAATACGTCTGGAGCCGAAAAAAAATAAAATCCGTATATAAGCCTTATAAAGAAGGCAACACATGCTGTATGTATCCATATTAACTATATTAGCCTACTATCAAAATGACTAAGTTGGCGACAAATACAATCGATCCGGGCTCCGGCCTTCCTGTGTGGAGTTTGCATGTTCTCTCCGTGCCTCTGTGGGTTTTCTCCGGGTACTCCGGTTTCCTCCCACATTCCAAAAACATGCATGGCAGGTTCATGAAACACTCTAAATTGTGAGTGTGAGCGCGGATGGTTGTTCGTTTCTGTGTGCCCTGGGATTGGCTGGCAGCCAGTTCAGGGTGTCCCCCACCTACTGCCCGGAGACAGCTAGGATAGGCACCAGCACCCCCGCGACCCTTGTGAGGATAAAGTGGATCGAAAAATGGATGGATGGATGTATGTCATGGGTGCAAACGTATTCTGGTGATGTTGAGCTGTAAGAGAAAAAGTCAGGGGGTGCCACTGTCTGTAATAATACGTCTTTTATTAAAAATGACTTCACTCAGTGAATTTCCCCCGTTTGTTTCTCTTATTCATATCAGAGCTTTCCACTGGCCTAAAGTCGAGGTAGGGAAGAGTCATTGGCTTACTGTGTTTACTTCATTGGAAATTACTTTGCAGACCCCAAATATATTGTCCAGGGAGCCTAGTTGGAGAACCACTGCTTTAATCTATTATGCAAGTAAAAGCAGACAAAAACGGAGCATTCAAGCAACGTGCCGACTTACGTCTGAATCGGGGAGCAGGTCGTCTTCTTCATCCATGCTGTAGGAGGCGCTGTGGAAGTCACTGTGCGCCTCGGCCAGCAGCTTCCGCTCCATTGTGGATCCCGGACCGATGTCCACAAAGGTGGTCTCCAGGTAGTCCTTACTAAGCAGCGAGTCGCCGTGGCTCCAGATGGGCGCAGCCGGGTAGAAAGACTCAAATGTGCGGGGCAAGGAACACGGGTCCAGAAGCTGATGGGGCTGCTGAACATCTGGAGGGTGTCCGCAGTAGCCCCTCCATGCCAACGGAGGGTAGGCCATGTCCTCCTCGCACTTGACCAGCATTCCCTTGAAGACTCCCCCAGGAGCCGGTCCCGATGGCCGATGGGGGCTTTCTCCCAGGAGAGGGTGCTCCGTCTCATCGCGGTTCTCCATCACTGGCTTTGAATGGCATCCACGCACCAAAATGTAATCTGCAGAATCGGAGGGGCTCCCCCCTGAAGAGTGCACAATGGGATTAGATGCTTTGCCGGCTGCTAGTGTTTCAGCGATAATCCATCTTTAATCCAATTCGTTGATTTCTCTCTTGGTGAAAGCTCAGCTGCCGACGACGACAACACACGTTCTATCCGTCGTCCCCTGCAGGTTATGGCTGAAGGATTCCAAAGCCTCTGATCTTCAAGTATTTGGTTTTCCAGTTCACGTCTCCTTTCTGATAATGGACAACCAATGAAAACCTCTTTTTGTAAATCCTGGAACAGTCCAAAGCTAACAGAACACAGTGTTGTGATGGCGTGGGAGAAAAAAAGATCAAGGTGGAATTGAGAGTTGAGAAATAGTCCTAACTAATGGATGATACTCTGGACTGTCTTCATTTAGATGCTCAGTTCAGTTGTTTGTCTCTGTGCCTTGCGATTGACGGGCGACCAATCCAGGGTGTCGGATTATCACATCTATCCTTGGCATCAAAGATTGCAGAAAAGGTTCTGGTGTGGAAACAGTTGTGCAATGAACACTAACTAAGGTAAAAGACTCACAGGCTGTTGTGATTTCCAGGTGTCTCTCTCCATGTCCCCTGCAGTTGAGTAGTTACCAATCCAGGGTGTGGGATTATCATATTAATCGTTTACGCCCAGAGTTAGAAAAAAATTCTGTGTGGAAATGACAGTTGGGGAATGACTGCAAAAGAATAACACTTGATTTAAATGGTCAGGTTTCCAGTCTGTTTCTGTTTTTGGGGGCAGGGAGTAATGAGAGTTGAGGACTGATCACGAATGACTGCAATTTCAAAGTCTGAGTTTGTTGTCTGTCTCAATGTGCCCTGCAACTGTCTGACGCCCACTCCAGGGTTTAGAACTATTACATCAATCCTTCCCGTCAAGGATCAGAAAAAAAGTGCTTGAGAGCAGTCTTGATTTAAATGCTCAGGTTCTTTTTGTTTCTATCTTGACAAGCACTGATCGACTAACTAACGACCCATCCAGGGTCTAGGAGTACCACATCAAACTTTACCGTTTGGGTTTGAACAAAAGTTCTAAAAAATAACGGCTAACGAATGATCGTCATTTCATGGATGAGCCTTTTGTGATTTTCAAGGTGCAAGTTCGTCGTCTGAGTGTTCTGCGATTGTCCTGCAACAGATCCAGGTTTTTGATATGCCTTTTGCCTAAAGTCAGCTGGGATACACTCCTGCTTTGCTGACACACTGAACAGAATATGTGGAGGAAAATGGACGGCTTGATGATGTGTTTCAGATGGCTGCGCAGATAAATAGTGCGTGTTGATTATGCCCAAGCATCAAAGTCGCGGCGCCATGTGCGGATTGGGGCCATATTGGAGGGCGGTTAATCTGTAAAAGCAATGAGGCTCCAGAAATAGAATCCTACGGGACGCGTCTGCAGGTCAACTGGCCCGCCGGCATACAGCGTCCATCGCTGCGCCACGTCATCATGAAGAAATCAAAAAGCCTCCTTGTTGATTAATGGCACAACCGATTTGCCGTTGGCCCGAGCTCCCCCTGGATGTGTATTTTTGATGTCGTCCGTCGAACTTCACAAAGTTTAAATCACGTCAAATGAGCAGCGCCAGGCTCTTTATCCGGGCTGGAAGCGGGGGTCTATTAAAGAGAAGCAACAAAGACATTTCAGCGTCAACGTTTCCTTGATCAAGAAACGATCGTCCTCCAGGAGTGCACTGATCAATGCGCATCATTAGAACTATCGTCATTTCCTTTTTAAAGTCAGTCTCCGTGAAAACCGCTGAGTGAAGTGTAAAAACCCTCAAAATCCCAAGGAGGAACTTTTAATTCAATTCTGGAGCAGAACAGATTTGTTCTACATAAGCGTTATATAAAGCGGACCTTTGGGTAAAACGGCACTCGCTCAAAGTTTAGAAAGTTAGATTTTGGATCAATAGACTTACTTAGTTCAGCTTGATGTGTTCCAGAGATCCTCAAACAAGATCAGGAAGGGCTCTGCAGAAACACACAAAGGCGGAGTTATATTTAAAACAATATTTGAGATCTTCGGCACAACAAATCCAGAGCAACTTAAAAATATGACATCTTGTTTTGCTGATGTATTTGGAAGATTGTATGATACACCAGAAGGGAAGGTAAAGGGCGGACCTACATTAAATGCAACATGAGTCATGCAGATACATTCAGACAGTTTATGTACACATAATAGACACCAATGAACATATAATTGCTCGATCGCCGATGATGGATTCATGCATACAGGGTGATACAAAATGGACACCGGGTGGATTCGTGATTGATAGACGACCATTACGTGATTATAGATGAACGCCCAGTCGATACATAACTATACCTGATGGATACATGGCAAGTCACAGAGACACGATAGATACAAGACGATACATTGTGATACCAGATGAATACACGGTGATGCAGGTCTGGTACATGTTGAAAAACAAATGATTTGCTGAAAAGCATAATCGATGTTAACTTGATTCTGCATGTTTGCTTTTTGTATTCATGGGATGTCACAGTCTGCTTTCGTGGCTTAGTGGCAATAAGACATGATGCTCTCTGTGTCATGGGGAAGATGCTGCAGTGTTGGGGTGAAGCATGAAGGCAATCAATGGCGCGTTAACGGAGCATTTCATTGCACTTGGGAGAGAAACAAGAACGTGTGATTGCATCATCAAGCATCTTTCACTCTACTTGTACTTTACTTGCACTCCCATTCACGCGTATACACACACACACACACACACACACACACACACACACACACACACACACACACACACACACACACACTCCCAAATACCGCACTTTCATTCCAGCAGCGATGCACTCATCTTATTACGCCCACCTGCCTCCTCTTCCTCATCGTCCTCGTCTTTGCATTCTGCAACGCTAATAAAACTGCTACGGTGGTGGTGACAAGGACGCTACCACAAATCACATACACCGCGTAACAAGAGCAGCCTCTTGCCCTCTGTCACTTCACCTCTGTGATTTTATTCAATCAGAACAATGTGTTTTAACTACGAGGCGGGAATGATACAGTGTATTGTATTGATATCGCTATTGCATCATCATATCACATTGTGCGCTACGGATAGACCAACAGTCTCCACTGTTCATTGATGTTGTAAAGAAAAGTGTTTTTATTCCATTCATGACTGATATCGAATTGATAAATACACAATGACACCTGATCGAGGTTCATAGCTGGCCGATACAGAATTTGGAGTATAGATACTGTACAGGATACATGATACATAGCTTTGATACACGTTTGACCTTGCTGTGTTTTATTTTACTGTTGCAGAAATTCTTTTGGATTGCTTCTTGAGATTAACGTTTTGGTCAGGCATCTTCTATGGGTAAGTCATTTTACTTTGCTTGATTATAATTGTAATTTTTTTATGATGATAATTAAAACGGGGGTTCTCAAACTTTTTGGGCTCAGGGGAGAAATTTTTCCAAGGACACCCTCATAATCTTATCACCACTTAAACTACCATGTGTACCCCTAACTTCCATGGGAATTAAAAAAAAATCCAAAAAAAACCCTGCTAATTATTTTTCATGGCCCCAAGCTACAACTTTCCAGTTTCAGAATCACTGATTCAAAACATCGCTTGCAAAGTTAATAACGGTTTTATGATGGCAAAAAGATGATTATTATTTCCATTATTTCCTATGGGAAGACATGTATACAAAGGATCTCACATGCGAGCCTATCAGGGAGGCAAACCTTGAGGTAGAATGGGAAAAAGAAGCTAAACTGCTGTTGCTGCTGCTGCTGACTTAGTCTGATTTTCAGCCACTCTGCAGTCTTACTCGATGTCTTTCAGCACACACGCACAAAGCACAGTGCTTGAAGTAATTGGTCAACCAGTCAAGTTTGTCCACAAACGAGCAGCCAGGGACGGGATGCGAGTACAGTACTCACAGTTGCTAATGAAAACACATGTATGTGTCCCCCCCGGGCAATCAGAGCCGAGTGGCCTTGCTCGGAGACATGGCACAGGGGGGATAAGTGGAGCTTAAACGGACTCATTGATTTCATCTCTGTGATAAAGATGAGGCTGGATGAGTTTTTAAAAAAGTGTTGGATGCATCTTTCTTGCCATTTGCAAAATAACCACTTCCTGTTTCTAGGGAAATGCTTTGAGTATTGGACATTTGTGGTAATAGTTATAATTCTGACATGCAGACGGAATATTTTTGACACGGGTCAATGATGTGATGCCATCTCCGGTAGATGTCCACATCAAATGATGACATTGAGGAGTCATTTTCTCATTACCCCAAAACATTTCTACCTCCTCCCTCATCGATGGAATTTGTGGTAGGAGGTGCTAAAAGTAAACAGAGGTGTGCAATGAGAGGAGAGCAATGAGCTCATACCCCCGCAGACAAATACAAGAGACACGTGGAGAGTGTTTCCGTCACTCCAAATGGGAGTCCATCAGTGATGAGCTGAGAAGGTCCATCGGTATTGACCCGGTTAGTGACGATTCCAGTAAGTTCCTGTTTTGTCCATCCGTTTTTTTTTTTGTTTTTTTTTTAATAATTTCTCGTTATTCGTCAGCAAAACGTACCTTCCAGGTTAAAAGGAACTCAAATTGGTTGAAATAACGCTGGGTTCAAAAGGGATTGAGCCAATGCTGGGTTATTTGGACCCAGTGCATTGGCTTGTGGATTTAAGCCAGCATTTTGGATCAAGAGTTTTGATCCAACAAGGCGTAAAATCGACCCATACTGATGAGTTATAGCTACCAAGCACTGGGTGACTAGGTAACCAGTATACAGTAGCTGTGGTTAGAAATGCGACATTTTACTGGCAACATTTTCTAAGAAGCAGCAACAGCAACTTTCTCCTGTTAGGGGTCGCCGCAGCGAGTCACTCAAATGATATGCCAAGCACAGTTTTGGAAAACCCACATCAGAAAGCCCAACTCGTCTTCTGAGCCTTACTAGGATAAAAGCAGGAAATATGGTTAACCGACATTTATTTATATCCATGTCTTGGTATGTGTGTGTATGTCCGTGTGCGTGCGTACATGTGTGTGCGCTCCCTCCACCAGTTTGGCAGCACACACAACAGACCAAACGGTATGATTAATGGGCCTTAATTCAGTCTTGAGTTTGGCAGTGCTGTGCAAGTGTCGTCGTGTTGCCGCAAATTAAACGCCTGCACGTCCCTGTAAAAGTATATGTATGTATGCACTCCTTCCATCAGCTGCATGCTCGTGATTAAATGTTCTGCTGTACTGCAACGCCCGTAGGAGAGATTTTGTCTGACAAAGGTTAATCAACCAAGGTAAATATTGCACCGTCCATACACAGCACTGGGACAACCTCAAGAGTGTAAACATTTATTTAGGTACTACAGTGGTACCTCTACTTACGAACGTCTCTTCATATGAAAATTTCAAGTTATGAAATGCCTCAACAGCGAAATATTGCCTCTTGTTACGAAAGAGATTTCAAGATACGAAAGGTAAAAATACAGTATAGGCAGCTACTCGCAGCTCCGAGTTTCCTGAACGCAACATACTTATAGCTGCTCTGCCATTGGCTATTACCGAGCATCTTCCTGGCATCCCATTGGCTAAGAGGGACCTGTACTGAATGTGTCTATGTGTTATTAGATAGATAAATAAATGTGCCTATGCAGCGTCCTTGTCATTTGCCCCTCGGGCCATGAGGCGTTCCGATAGTTTTAAATAAATCACCCAGGAAAAGTGTTCACCAGTCGGGCGATCGCTCACTATGCTGCTGTTTGCCTTGGACATCGAAGGATTGTTAAAAGCCAACTAAAGCAAACGTCCGTGGATCAGTTACTGTGTATAGTTTGTAAAAATTTTGTTATTATTTTGTGCATGCAAATACTTTGTTTTTTTTCTACTTTCTTCCCTCCAAATTTTGCTGCTGTAGATTACGAATTTCTCCATTTTGAGACAATAAATGTTTTCTTATCTTAACATGAGCTAAAGAGGGCAAAAACGATGAGGACGCAGTTAAAAGTTGAATGACCGTCATTTCTGTTCTTTACTCTATTCATTGTTTTTTTACATTATGCAGAACTCTCATTTATTGTGCAATAATCTAACTAACATGTATTTTTTTTTACATATTTTGATGCATTTTTATGCTTCAGAAAACATTTATGTCTGAATTTCGGGGGGGCTTGGAACGGATTAGGGCATTTACATGGAAAACGCATCTCAACTTACAAAATTTTCTAGTTAAGAAATTTCTTCCAGAACCAAATAATTTCGTAAGTAGAGGTACCACTGTACTTTTATTTCACTTTTATTTTGACTACATGTTAATTTTTTCATTAAGTGCATTTTTTTTGGTTTGTTTTGATGTTGAATTGTATTTGACGTTTAGATAAAATACCTTTGCATTTCATCATCAAGAACTGTTTGTTTTTAAACATTGAGTTAGGTATAATTTTTACTCCAATTTTATGTGCAGTACATTTCATTTTAATTGAAGAACATTTTTTAAAATTTTCTAAATTAAACTGTTCAAGCTGTGCATGAGATTTTTTTCAGTGGCTTATTTTATTTATTTTTTTCAACAAAGTACATTTATTTTATCTTTTAAAGGAATATATTGTGTTTTACTTTTCAAGTACAGTCAATAATTTGCTTTTCAAGTAGTTGGAGTACATTTTTTTTTGACTTTTCAAGCTTATTAGGTTTTTTTTTTTTTTTAAAGTAGAATTCAGTTGTATTTAACTTATTTAGAGTACAATACAGAGCAAAACAGTCCAGTTTCCCGCTCACACTGTATTTCAGTGGCGGGTTAATTTTTGTAATGTGCATCATTACGGTAGCGTCCCGTAATATGAAATATACTGTACTTTCTTTTGCCTCATTTATGAGTAACACAAAGGCTTGTACTTTATTTGAATGTTGGTCGTTATGATGCTACTTGGTGAGCTTATTTGTATTTTTTATGGTGGTACTTGTAAAAAGCGAACCAGTGTTCAAGACACACACACACACACACTCACAGAAAATCTAAAAATACTGCTGCGTGCAATGAAGTGTGTTGGACACAGTGTTCTGTGTGGAGCACAATAGTGCGTTGCTGTCATTTGTGCACGCCCACTTGTGTGTGTGCAAATGAGCTAACGGTGTGTGTCGCTGCCTCCTGCAGCTGTTTTTCAACCCAGTTTACATTCATCATGTCTTCTGCTTCCCAAACGTGCCCACATTTTAATTGTGAGGGTGATGTCACTTACACATTCAAGCCAAACGTCCACCACAACATAGCAAACCCCCACCCCCCCCAAAAAAAACACGTTTTAAGAAGCGTGTGTATCATGTTTCAGGTGAAACACCCATAGTGGTAAGCACAGGGACAAAACAAGTCGACGTACTGTTTACTGCATTTTTGTTGTTACAGCATGTCGAATACACACATACAAAAAGTTGTGTAGTGTCATTTATAACATACGTGAGTGACACCAACCTTCTCAACTCCATTTCATTTTCTTGATGAAGTCGAAACACAAAATATTGAATCTTTCTGTATCTATTTTGTTTTTGTTGTTGTAAATCAAAAAGACGTATTCCGTTGAAAAGTAGTGGTGATGTTGACCTCATCTCTCTCACCATTTTTCTGTACTCATTTATTTGTAACCATGCGTCTTATGACCTAAAAAAAAACTAATTTAAAGTCTTTTTTTATTGCTTTATTCTAGCTGTTATTTTGTGTACTTTTTATTAAAATGACATATCTTCCTATGTGATCTCAAGCTTTTTTTTTAATCAGTTCTACGTGGGTGGGTGACAATTATCACTATACATTATTATGATATACCATGTGTGTGTATTACTATTATTATTACTATTACTATTAGTTGTAGGAGCAGCAGCAGTAGTAGTAGTATTATTATTATACACTATCTACCTCTGGGTATACAGCATATACTGTATATGTGAGTATATCATATGACACTGTCTGTATTATTATTTTGATTAATATTATTATTATCTGATGTAAGTATGTCTACATCTACAAGATATGAGTAAATTGTTCTTGTTCAATTTTATACATTAATATTATCATTAGCATCATAATTTTCATCATTTTATATATCTACATATCTATATCTATATATATCTATATATAGATATATAGAAATTCACAGTGGCCTCCCCAATACCTCTCGTCAAACTTATCAGTCTGAAATGTTGCCAGATATATATATATATATATATATATATATATGTTTACATGTGTTAGTGCATTACTGTAATACATCACGTGTGTTATGATGAACGATAATTAAATGAAAAATATCTAAAGTGAATGGAAGTGTCATTATTCTCATATACCTTGGGTGTATTATTTTTATCATTATTATTGTTATTATTATTATTAAAATACATACTGTACTTCCATACTAAAGCATGACACTCCTAGCGATAAATACTGTACACAGATCCAGAAAAATAAGTGTAAACAAAAATAACCATCAATGGATGTCATAAAAAAGCGGATGAAATCGAATGAATGTTGCGAGACTGCATGCGGCGAAAGAATAATCTTGTCATGTTGATGCCTCACCTTCAGGTGGCCACGTCGGCTGCTGTGTCCTCTCAATAAATCGTCAACCAGGGAAGGAGACCATCGGCTACTTGTCCTGCATCGTTTTGCATCCACGCTAGCGCGCACGGTAGGACGTCAATGCTGCATCGGACTCCCATCCCCACCCCCCCCCGCGTGTCATCTCCTCTCCCGTCATCCTCCTCCTCCTCACCTCCTCCTGGCTCTTCCTCAGTGGAGGGAGCGTGGCGTTCCTCTCTCCTGACTCCCCAACTTCC